GGGCAGCCAGGGAAGTTTTAGATTGGTGGAAAGACGCATAATAGAAACTGTTAACAGTAGCACTTAGGGTACCACTAGTGCTCAAAATGAAACTCAAAACCCCTACCATTCTGGGAATAAGTTTATAAAAAAATAGAAGCCTATTTCAGAGGAAGGAAACATTTGAGAAGCTGCAATCCAGCATTTCAGGATACTGTTTGCTAGCACAGCATTACCTTAAGGCAGTGCTTCTCAACCTTCGCAACTTTAAGATGGATGGACTTCAACTCCCAGAATTCCCCAGCCACCATGGCTGGCTGGGGTATTCTGGGAGTTGAAGTCCACCCATCTTAAAGTTGCCAAGGTTGAGAAATACTGCCTTAAGGTAATATTTGTTTTGGTAACTTGCCAGTATCTTGCCTTTACATCCTATTAGTTGTCAGCTCTCCATCCATTAAGAACAAGGTGTCTATCACACAAGAAGACAAGCACCATGTCTGTTGTCCAAGACACATTTTGTGCTTGCACAGTACAAACTGCCATCTGGTAATGGCATATTAGAAAACAGGACAACCCTGGCTTTTGGCTTATGCCAGAGAAGCTGGTATTGTTTTTCCTGGGCTTGAGGCATGATTGGAGTGTTGATTCAGGCAAATTGGCCAGCTATACCTATTTCTTTCTCATTCCTGAGTGGAGAAAGCAGAAGTAGAGGAAAGTGGCCAAGTTTGGACAACTCTCCTCTAGAGGGTCTAGGTAACTCTCAGGTACCATAGCATAGACACTGCTCTCTCACTGAGAGACTAGGCCACCACGTTGACTGTACTTGGAATGGCATGGAGATGCTAGGGCAGGTTTGGAATGATTTGTGCTAAAGTTCAGCAGCTGTATGCTCTGAATATGATCTAGCAGGACACCCCTTATGCTCTTATGTGCCTTCCTGGGGTTCTCCTCTTTCCCCTTCCTAGTTAATTGCTGCTAATAGTGCCTTTTAGTTGTGACAGCATATCATTTCTGGGTTGCAGGATTTTCTGCCTTTCAGCTAATTTACACACCTTTCCTTTTCATACTTTCTCAGAAGCACATTCATGTGGGACTTAGTCATAGAATAAAAGTGATATTTAGAACACACAGATATTCATCTGAGCAATATGATGAGTACTTTAATTTCAAGAACAGAAATGAATAATCAGCAAGGCATGTTTAAACACTGGTGTGGCAAAATAAACTAAGAGATTGAACTGCAAGGATAGGAGATCTCCATTCTGAATCTTTCTTCTGCCATGAACTCACTGTAAGAGTTTAGGGACACATTCTCTTGCAGCCTCAGTTATTCACCCAGGGCTACTGGGAAATACACCATGGAAAAGTTTTCAAATACATTATGTGATACAACAAAATAGGGTCTGCTGTGCATGAATGTAATTTTCCAGTGTTTGCTTCCATCCCACTCCAGGCATTCCTCAGCTCAAAGATATGCATGTTTTGAGAAATATCTACAAATTCAGTAGACAGCTGAATAAGCAAAACAGCGTACGTTGTCAGTAGCGGTGCCATTTTGTAGCCCCTATTATCAGATGGCAGATGATCCAGATCATCAGACTTTCTGTCTCCCAATTTTATGAATCTAATATAAAACACACTTCAAGACTGAGCTGGGTTGTGTTGAGTATTTTCAGATCTTTTGGGGCATCAGAATGTTGCCTCTTTTCATGGATATAACGCTGCTGACTCATATTGAAATTGATCGCAGTTGAAAGCCCTAGTTACTATGTGGTCATGGAGAAAATTGATCTATGTGGTCTCTAGGAGTTGACACCAATTTGATAGCATATAATCAATCAATCAATCAATCAATCAATCAGTCAATCACTTATGTGATCTGATTAAGAAGATGCCCATCTCACTCAAACACCAGGACTATTCCTTTATCAGTATTTCTGAGATGAAGGGAATGGCCATCAGAAACATACCATCTGAGTACCTCACTTTTACATCTTTTCTGTTTTCATGGCACATAGCTTTGCTATGAGTCCTGACAGTGGTGATCCCATGGGTGTGCCTCTGATTTGTTGGTATATTT